TTTTTTTTTTTTTTTTTTTTTTTTTTTGTCCAGTTGCTACCGGTTAAATGTTAAGATGTCTGGCTTTCTCTTCATTGCCTTTCCCCCCCAATGTCTGTTGAAGTTTTGCACCAAAATTGAGGGCTCAACCTAAGGTTGTAAAAAGACAAGGAAATGAAAGGAAAAGTTAACAAAAATGCCAGACTCATTTGCGTGAACCTAAGTATCTCCTGTAGAATAATTGGCCTCAAATTGTTTATTGTCAGAGAAGAGGAAAATCCGCCTCATTTTGAGTCAGGTATACCACACAACTGACTATTCTGGAGGTGCCTATTTCTCCTAATTGGCTCCAAACAAAGGCTGGAAAGTCTCATTCAAAAGTAGATAATTATGGTTTTGATATTTGAAGGTATTTGAGACGAAATGCATTTAGCAGTCTGTTCCCCCATCCCCCAATCTTCATCTCTTTGCACATCACATGTCAATATCACCAGTCTAATTGCTGTGCAGTGCAGAAAATGAAGGATGTGTCTGTTCCAAAATGAAGGGCAGTCTTGCTGCAGTATTCAGTCAGTGCCACGAGGATTCCTTTTGCGACCCATCATACTGGCTGTGCTCCTTCTGTGCCTTCTTCCTACATCATTCACAGTCTTGGAAAATTTACCACAATCCAGTCTAGGAGAAATATATATATTGCAGTATATCAAGCTGTTAAGCTGCTTTACACTAATCTACCATTTTCATCCTTGCCTTTGATGCTGAGTGAAAAACATTTTTAGCTGACCCTATATTTTACTATTTTTCTTCATATTAATGAATATCATCTGGTTGCAATGCCAAATTCCAAAACATGTTTGAATTAACTGAACATAAAATGTGACTGATTCAAACTTAAGAAATATGTATGTAAATGCATCTATGTGTAATGCATTATCTATGTATATGTAATGCGTATGTGTATGTGTATATATATAATCCTGAAAGTCTAATGCACTTGATTCTTCTCTATTATTATTCAGAAATGCTAGAGGAACGTTTGTGTTATTTTCTCCTTTCAGATTGATGAATGCAATCTTTGTAGATTTTACACTGAGATCTGAGTGACAGAGTGAATTGGGCTTTACCTTTATCATGTTTCAGTTAAGTAAAACAAAGACCATTTGCAAGTCCTAGCAATACATCTTTGTTGCCTATTAGGAGTGGATGCCTATATTACGTCTAACATCTGTACTGCTTCTGAACAAAATGTCAAAGCTTAAATTCCAACCTCATTCTCTCTGCCGTCAGTTGCTTTCAAAGCAGTTGACCACAGGTATCTTCTGGAGATTTTCTTCTTTGTTTCTTCCGCAGTGTGCTATACATCAGATCTTCTTCATCTTCCATCTTCCCAAGCCATTTTCTGTGTGGCACATTGAAACTTGAATCCTTCTTTCCTCCTAGGCTATTTCTTTCAGTCATTCCAAAGCTTCTGCTATCCAAATAAAAATCTCTGCTCTCTCTCTGAAAGTTGCCAGCTCAACATTGAGATGTCAAGCTCAGCATAGTAAAACAATACCCTTAATCTTCCTCTGACTGTTTCTTCCTTGGTATCTGTAGTCTGAATGTCTTTTGAAAGTATTCTATCTTGCCAGTTGCTCAGGCTTTTCATCTGGAACTCATTTTTTCCTTAACATGTGTCTAGCTAGATACCAGTGCCTGTGACTTGCAAATTCTCTGCATAGTGTTGTTGAGGTAGGAACATTTTTATCCATTGTGAATCAGAAATACTTTTCTTATGTTATAATGCTGTGAAATCAGTTGCAGCAACATCTATCCTTTCATCTTGCACTTTTCCCTGCTTCAGAAATCCCATCTGAAACGATATGTTTTCTTCATCCATCTCTTTAGTTAAAACTGCACTAACAAATATGTGTTTTCTGGTGTACGCCAGGATTTTTTTCACATGGAAACAGTTTCATTCTTGAAACCCATGCAGTTTGTCCTTCCTTCTAACTTACTTTTACTATTAAAATAGTAAAGCCATTCTTCAACCAACTCAGTCCCATCCTTTGGTTATAATCTCTTTCCATTCAGTTGTTCATGAATAGTTCCAGTCCCCAAAGATCCCCCAAAGTTTCCTTCCCAAAGACCACGCATACATGGTGGTTTGGCTGAGTTCCAGCTGCCAGTTCATGTCTGGCATGTTAGTAGTACATTCAATGTGATGTGACTGTGCCTTTCAAGTTATTTTCACATTGTTTCAGTCTGGTATCATGATATATCAAGGAGGCAGTAAATAACAGCTGAGGGATTCAGAGCAGCTTCCTGACCTCCATATCCAGCGATATTAATATTCCTTTTATCAGAGCAACCTGCTCTAGATGAAGGTGTCTCTGCACATTGCAGGTGGGTTAAGACCAGGTGATCTTTAAACCATTCTGTATTCTATAACCATTCTGTTATTTCTAGGAGTAAATTTAAAGAACTGCTTTGCTAAGGTTAGTGATTACCTTTCAGGCACCTCAGACATGATTCCTGACTATTTAAATAGTCTATTATTAAATAACTATTATGTCTGTGCATTTTTGAGTTGAAGTCAACAAATGGACTAAAGCAGCCTTTGGCAATAGCTTTCATTCCTGGGAGTGTTGATTCATAAATGCAGGTATATCAAAGTCAGAGTGACTGAAGCGGTGACTGGACAGACAGCCAGATGTCTGCCCTGGTTCTCTTATGGAGACTTCCATGCTATGACCAAGAAGAATTAAAGATGTTTGGAAGCAGTTTTTTAAACTGCTGTAATTTTCTTTGTGCCCTGCAAAGTCTGCTGCTGCTGATTTCAGGTTTCCTTACTACTCAAGACTGTAAATGTGGGGTGTTCAATAGCTGTTTCACATGTTTTTTGTTTTTTTTTTTTGGTTTTTTTTTTGTTTTTTTTTTTTTTTGTTGTTGTTTTTTGTTTGTTTGTTTTTGGTTTTTTTTGTTTTTTTTTTTTAACTCTCCCTGACATCAGATAGCAGTTTGCAGACAGGAGGCTGCAGATATCCAATGGTATTAAGAACATCAGCTGTCAAACTTCGGTTTTGTTATGACTGTGAGTCAGTACTGCATTCTCACCTTAAAATCATAGAATTGTAGAATGGCCTGGGTTGAAAAGGACCTCAAAGATCATCTAGTTTCAACCCCCCTGCTGTGGGCAGGGTTGTCAGTCACTGGACCAGGCTACCCAGAGCCACATCCAAGCTGGGGCTGGAAGTGCTCTTGGATGATCACTGCTTATGAAGTGGATTAAGAGGCTGTATGTCTTGCAACACTGTGACTGGGCAGAACTGATTAGAATTTCTTTTCCTTTGCTGTGCTCTGCTGTACTGGAATCCCGATTCCTGGGCAGTGATGGAGCGTGCCCTAGTCAGGGCCATGGGAAAGATGTGGGAGTCTTGAGGTTGTTCTGAACTCTGTTGAGCTTCCCTGATGGCAACCAAGCACTGCAGCAGTACTGGTAAATGTAATGGTGAGGATAAGTGATTAAAGGCCAATCTCTCCAATCACTTTATGAACTCACACCCTTCAGAAGCGGATGTCTTGTGGGATATTGTATTTTACAATCTGACTTCTACATTATTTTGAAAGTTTGAAACTACTGTTTACATGCAGATTTCCCTGTCAGTCTGCAGGGAAAGTGTGTTTTGTTTTATTCTGAGCAGTTTATTAAATGAGTGTTGTTGAAGAGCCGAGTTTCATGCAGTGTGGTCTCAATTGTGTGTGGGTTAATCAGTGTGTGGGTTCAGGTTCTTTTTTGTTTCTTGTCCTTCTTGTTATGTGAAGGCCTATAAATCTCCAGTCTTCAGTAAGGCCAACCAGGTGTGCATATAAAGAAAGTATCAAGGCTGTCATTTTCAAAGGAGTAGAGAGACTTAGATACTACTGAAATGCAGTTTACAATTCATTTAGCAGTTGGCAATTGTTGCTTTCCACTAAGTTAATATTCATTATTTATATTGTAGTAATAACAGGTGCATTTGCAAATATTGTTTTGTTCTGTTAGGCTCAGGAGAAGATTGGAGAAGACTTTAGTTCATTACTAACATTTGGTTTTCAAAGAAATCCTCCTTCTGTTGATATCCCCCTCCTGAGATGACTGTTCTTATTTTAGTTCATTTCTTTCTCTTTCTTTATTAATATCCATCTGTCTCAAGGGTTCCTCTGCTGAGAAAAGAAAAGTCACTGGTAAGCTTCCATGCTACAAGATTTAGAGCATCACAAATCACAGTCATATCATGAAACACATTTGAACATTTCCTTATGCCCTTTGCTTGAAAGAGGCTGCTTGCAAATGCATCTGTACTTTAATCCTTGGGAACATACATCAGTAAACCAGGAATATGAGCTAAAAAAATTCTTAATGGAAGGCAAAATAGATATCTCAGTAAAATAAGTTGCTGCAAAAGAAAAGGAGGAATTCCTTCAGGTTGACTTTCTTTTGAGGCCATTATTGGCAGTTAACAGAAGTTAAAGAACTGACAGCAAAAATGCCATTCAGAGTTGCCTTCCTTTTCCTTTAATTCAGACATACTGTGATTGTTTCAGCTTGAGTGCCCTCCTTCCTCACTCTGTGACAGCTGGGAGGAATGCTATTAAGTGCAAGAATTATTTTTTTTGCGTGATGATGGCATATAGGGAAGATGATTAGGAATTAGGCTCCCACTGAGACAAGCAGGCAGGAAGGCCCAAAGAAAGACTCATTTCTTTCTTACATAGGTGCTTGGCGTTATAGAAAGAGCAAACCAGGAAAGTTTTTACCTACAAGGTTTGCTTCAAGTTTTAGTCTTGAAACAGATCTTTAAATCAAACCCGTGCATTAATGTGGAAGAAGACTGCAGAGTTTCCTACACAGAGAAACTGTAGCAAACTTATTTGTTGATTTAAAAAGATGAAATGGAGGGACAACTTTTTATTAAAATGTGTTTCTATAATTATTTAATTAGCAATGATATTGAATTTTAACTGTAGCAGTTATATAGCCATGATGCTATGATAAGAACTTTTGAATAAAACTGAAAAATAGTGAGTGTATAGCCAACAGAAATCATTTGCGTCTATATTAAAAGGGATAATTAATAAATAACTAAAAACAGACATGACTGAACAGACTGAGTGTGAAAAAATGAAGTCTTTCCCAGATTTCTATTTCTTAAATACCACTTAAGCTAATCTCTGTTAAGATAAGCCAAGCAAACACTGCTTTCAAGTCAACAATGAAGATTGTTGACTCTCCCTATTGATATTTACATCAATTAAACTTTGATAATTTTAGTTTGATGATCAGCAACAAACCTAGTAAAACAAACATATTAATTGTGCACACTCAGTAACAGTTTACTGTGACCATCATCATATAATTTTTGCTATGGCATCTTAAAATTAGTTCAATACAAGATGTTTTTGTGTTTTCAAATGAGTTCTTAGATGGCTATATGGATAGTAAGAGTTCCTTAGCAACAGTTTATTAACAATTTAAGTCGTTATTGGAATTAGTAAAAGGTTTGAAAAAATCGCTGGATGGTATTGCTGCAAATTTATACATCAGATGCATGCCCTAATATGAGGTGAGATGGAAATACTTTATTGATTTTGTTGGTAAGCCTTTTCTGTTGTATCTCACAGCTCCCAACCCTCCCACCATTCGAGAAGAGCTCTGTACAGCTTCTTATGATACTATTACTGTCCACTGGACATCAGATGATGAGTTCAGTGTGGTCTCTTACGAGCTTCAGTACACTATCTTCACTGGACAAGCTAACGTTGTCAGTAAGTGGAAACCTTCTCATTTCTGATTCTATTTCCTTGTCATTTCTCTGCAAACTGCATTCCTTTAAATATAAATGTACTCGTATGGCAAGAACAAAAGAAGAACTTCCTAGGAAGACGTAAAGTTAAAATTTTAAATCCAAAGCAGTATTCCCAATATCATAATTGTAGTTCTCATTGACAGGATTTGTCTCTTGTGTCATCGAGCTTTTGTTGCAGGGGTGAGGACTCAGTTCTGCTGTCTAGATTAGTCACACACTTGGAAGAGTGTATTGAACTGGCCATTAGTTAGTTAACACTGCAGCCACCCTTATATCTATGACATGCCTTTTGACAACAGAGCCTATGTCAGAAATGCAGCTTAAATCTTCCCTCTGACTGTTTGCAAGGCTGCTGAGCATAGATCTTAGTACAGTGAAGGCTAAGGCAGCAAACAGTGGTGGAACACCAGTTAATATGCTAACTTTGACTTATAATGGTGTTACCTAATATTTCTTGGTATTTTCTATAATAGCTCATGATTATTAAATACATGCACTGTTTTGTTTCTCAAATGAGCAAATCTGCTCATTATTCCTTGGATTGTTTTGTTTTGTCATCACATAGCTATTTTCCTGAGAAAACACTCCAAGATTGCCTAATCTTTGGCTAGGAAGTCAGCACTTCTGGGTTCAGTGGATAGCAATTTTTGACTAACTATAATTTTGGAGAAATCATTTAACTTCTTCCTGTTCCCTGTATATTTATTGGGAATACAACAATTTGATATATGGTTACTTTGTGAAGATGAAGGAGTGTGAAATCAATCAATCAAAAGATGGATTTTGTTCATTCAACACATATTTGAATTGTGAATCACAGAATATTGTTGATTTAAAAAAAAAAAAAAAAATACCTCTGAAAACAATGAAGTTTAGAGACTTCCTCTTGGCTCAGGAAGTCCCAGAGCAGTAAGCTGCTAGAGCCTGGGAGAGTATGGTGAGAAATTATTGCTGTATGCTTTCCCTGCTACTTAACATCTTCCTAGGCATTTGCTTTTCTCTACAATCACATACCTCAACCACACACTGATCTAGGTAAAGTTTGCTTTAGATAAGCACTTCCCAGTGTGGAAGTGATTTTGTCATTACAGAATTTGTTGAGATGCTTTGATGAAGGTGAGTCTTGAAGGACATGCTTACATACTTCATACCAGTGGTAAAATGGTATGCTGTTTGTCCTGTTCTACTATTGAGCCAAACTCTTGTGCTAACTCCGCTGCTGCTGTGAGCACCTAATTTTCTCCATCACTAAATTGGAATTAGTTTTCCAAGGCATCTGAAAGCATATCTGAGGATTCAAATGCTAGCATTTTAGCAGTATTTTTAGGTTGCATAACACAAATGGTATTCAGGATTGAATGAAAGATAAAGTGGACCATTGAAAAACTGATTAATGTTTTGTTTAAACTTCAATTTAATATTTTACTAAGCAACCTAATTTAGGGCAATGGTAAAATTTAAGAATGCTGGAAAGACCAAGTAAAATTCAATACATGCTCCTAGATCTGAGCAAGGTAGATACCAAAAGTGTAATAGTAATTTGGAACACATTACAATCAGATATATAAGGAAATAAAAGCTTCCCTGTTTAATCTGTCCATTAAGCAGACAGGACACCATGACTTAATGCAGTGTATTGCTTGTTTCTGACCTATTTTTGTCTATGGCTTTATGCCAGAAGACTTTATGCAAGTCAGCTATTGCTTCTATACATGAATAGAAAAGTGCCATTTCTGCACCTTTATGATATGAGGTTTTACTCCTTGCTTTAAAGTGAATAAATAACAAGGTATTTCACTTTGAGACTGAACTGCAGGTTTCCCATGTGTGTGTGAAGGCTTTGATCTGCAAAACAATCAATTAGTTTTCTTTCAGAGATGCAATATGATAATTTGGGGGTTATAGCATGAATTACTCAGTGTGCAATCTGAACTTAAATTGTATCATTTTGGAAAAAAAATGGTGCCACTAGAAGTTTGAAGAGGAAAGAAACTTCGTTTATAAAATTTTCTGAAGAGCTGAAATGAAGGAGAAAGAAATGAAAGGATTGGCTGACATGTTTATTTGTTTCTTAACTGCAGCTAGCTCCTACATAAATATCTTGGCTGCTGGTTTCAATTTCATTGAAAGCTGTAGTTTAATCCAAGTTAAATACAAGCATATAAAAGTGGATGGTTTTTCTAAATATTGTCAGGCTTTCTTTATCATTATTTAATGTCGAGTCGAACACATTCAGTGAAAGAATTGGACTCCTCAAGTCTAATAGATCTGCTAAATGTCTATCCAAATTCCTAATAAAGAGGACTCTCACAGCTCATTCCAACTTCCACTGGTACTGGAGCTTTGCCCACTAACATGATTTTATTCATAGAACTGCTTGGTTGTTTCTTCACTTATCTGGATTATTTTCTTTGCCCTGCTTGAGGATCTAAGATCATCCCTAGAATATTGGGACGTACTTCAGTAGTGTGAAATAACAAAGCTATTTTCTCTGTAAGTGGAATTAACATGCTCTACACTGAAATCTTGATGTTTTGATTAACTGAAGATAGCTTTTAATTAGTTGTTTAAATGAAATAGAGTTTAGATTAACACAAATTTCTTTCTGTGTATGGCATTTGTATGCTGTGGCACATATATTTTTTAATTTTCTATGTCATATCCCCAAAAGTTTCCATTGCTATTGTATGTTCCCTGTAGTAGGTAATGTAAAGAGGTTCATAGATCATCTTCAGTTCTGTGTTACTATAGCTATGAATTAGTCACAAGGCAGTAGCTATGGTACTGTATTAAGCCAACAAGCTTTTTTTCCCTTGAGACAATAGGAATCACTTTGCATACAAACCCACCTACTGTGCTAATGGAAGTTGTTATTTTGGAATCCATTTCTTAAAACCACAGAGCCAGACTGACTGCACTTTCCACTCCCCAGTAAATTTCCCCCACCAGAGGCATATATCATTCAGAGATTGCTGAGAATTCAGTAACAAAAACAAGCAATGCTATGTTTTTCTAATGTATTCTCTATCCAACATAATCAACTATATTCTTTTTTATTAACTGAAAAATTGGAGAGTTAACATTTGGTGGAGAAGGTCCAACTGGAGTATTTCATTTTGAATCCTATTTCATACAGGAAAGATTACTTCCAAATGTGGCCAAATTGCTTGGCTATTAGTGCTTGGCAGCACTGTTCTGTGCATTAGAGCAATATAGAACTTTAAATCACGCAGCCTTTTACTAACACAGTAGTTCTTATAGCTGTATTCACACATTTGCTTTTTTGAGAGGCATCTAGTACTTGCACTCTGAATGTTGTAAAGGCTTTATGAATGAATTTGTCACTAGCTAGTTAATGTGCATTATGATTTCAATATCTGATTTCAATAAATTTTCAAGTACTTTTTGAGTTGGCATTTTTTTTATCATGAAGCTTTTTTACTGTTCTGCAGGAGGTTTAAAATTTAAACATCCAGCTTTTCACTATCAGTAACAAAGACACCTTTAGGAAAAACACGTAAGACTCTCCAAAACACAAAAGAGTAAATAATTCTCTTTTCTGTTAAATTGAATTTATGTTAGTTACATCAGCAAAATAGGAAAATTTGCTCTACTGAGGATGCAGTGTAGCATCAAAACATTCCCTGTGTTTTGTGATTACTTCTCCAATGAGATAGGATAAAGGTATGTTGACAAAACTGTCCTGAGATAATTAGGAGTTCATGCTTACCTGAAAGGTTTGTGATTTATCAATCAATTTTTTAATCTATCTTTTGTCTCTTTCTGGAAGCTTTAATTTCTTAAAAACAGTTTGCATACAATTTTCAAAATGTTACTGAGGTTTTCAGTGAGTATGACACAAAATCAAGGCAGAAAACTGCCTCTTAAAAAGATACAAAAAGAGTATATTTCTAGGAGAAAGAAGAAAAAAATCACTGTATGTTTTGCAGAAATTCTGCATATGTTTTTTCATTCACATGGGAATGTGGGATAGGGGTGGAGAGCTATCTGTTGCTTTCACCTACTGTATTTGTTTTACCAATTTGAATTTGTAATAATTTATTTAAATAAAGCATTTAAACGTAATTAAAACACTCAAAAGATTAAATAACCTTCCCATGACTTTTGTGCTTGTAGTTTTCAGGAAGATATATTTTATTAAAATCTCCCAGTGTAAATTTTAGGAGGATTAACACCTTGGGAATTTTCCCATCTGTTCTGTAAAGCACATCAATAACCAACACCAGGGAAAAAGCTTTGCAAATTATTACCTCCAGATTCTGAGAAACTTATTTTGAAAACTCACACATCCTGTATGAGACATCACTGTGCTCACTGCACCATTCCAGGATGTAATTTGAATTCTCTACATTTTTACAGTTTTAAAATACATCATTTTACCACCTGTATAATCCTATAAAAAGCCCAGGGTTTGTGAAACAAGAAACCTGAATTTCACCTGGATCAAGACTAGGTATAATAGTAAACCCTTAGCTCTTGCTGATTCTCCAGTGAGGAGAAGATGTGTGCTTCACTTAGCCTGCTGCCAGCAGTAGGGAGCTGAGCATGCAAATGTTACCCCCAGATGCCCATGTTAGCACGCTGTACTCTTCACTTCCCTGATCGTTCTGCCATTGTTTTTTGTATTCAAAGAAGAAACACTGTTCTGATAGGGCAAAACAGGAGATGAAAACCTTTTGGTGTAGTGATAAAATATTCTTTCATACCTAAAAGCTTAATTAGGCTGTCACTAGTTACTATTCCCCACCCTGAAAAATTGTGGACTTCTCATTTGATATCATCAAAAATTCATTCCCAGAATGCCTGAGTCAATGTTCAACTAGAAACCTGTTATCAAGTAGCTCACAGCCAGGAAGCACATGGACCCGCTGTTGTGGAGGCATGCACAGAGCTTGTTGGAGCAGCAAAGGAACTAAGTTAGACAGTGTGCATTCACCAATAGTTGCCTGAGAGACCTAAGAGAAGAGGGACAAAGAAATCCAGTGTGTGTTTCGTGTCTTTTGAAATAACAGAGACTTCCACTAGCAAATGAGCCACGTTGAACAGAGGCTTCCCATCTCTCTCTTCTGACTGTGGAGAGATTGTAGGGTAAATAAAGTCCTAACTCATGAGCTCTGCTCTTTGTTCATTGCCAAGTGGGATGAATCTAGGCCTGTGAGCATTTTGCCTTCAGGCCTCAGCAGCGAGATGTAGAAGTGCATAAGATGATTAAGGCTATGGATGTACATAGCAATCTAACTACTGGCTAGGGTTTTTAATAATATAATATCTTATTCTTGTGTACCTGAAGGATAATGGATATTGTGTATGTGTAAGTTCACATACTTGGGATGAGAGAATGGAGAATGGCAGCCTGGTCTGGTGTTTGGCGACCCTGCATATAGCAGGGGGTTGAAACTTGAAGATCAGTGTGGTCCTTTTCAACCCAGGCCATTCTGTAATTCTATGATGATTCTATGATTCATCACATTTACAGACTTACTGATGCTATTTCATACTCCATCAGAAGCATCTAAGTTAGGAATTCCTTCCTTAGTCATCTTGGTTTCTTTCTGAATCAAGTATTTAAGTTCACTTTATTTTAGCTTAATATTTATTGTGCGATAGCACCACTGAGCCAGGTGAATGGCCTTAGTGCAAAATCTATGTGGTAGTTCAGCTACAGAAAGAGTATACCTTTACTCTAAAATCTGTGTCAAATTTTTACTGGGATAAGTAGTCATTGAGATATTTTTTGCCATATTTAAATGCTGCTGCTTTTATTTCCACTCTTCCTCTTAGGAAACCCATTCATACCCAGCTGTTTGAAGCTATTTGAATCCTTTGTAGTTAACACAAGGAGGCTACATATGTTCAGGATATTGACTGGCTGGAGAATAAGCAATAAACTAGAATCTTTTTTCCGCTTTAAAACAGGAAACTGTTTTAAATAAAACAACAGCAAATAAACATTTTTGTTGCAGTAAATCATTCTTGCAGTTCATTTCAGTGCTACCTAACACCAAAAAAAGTGATATTCTTGATGAGACAGAGGGACCTAGAGAAAAGTTGCATACCGTCTGTCCCTCCAGGTCTGATCTTAACAAATGAAAAACTGGATAAAGCTTACTTGATTGTAGCTTGTTAATAAGATAGTTCAAAGACACAGATGTGTGTTCAACCTCAAGATCAGACTTCCGGGTTTCAAATCAATGGTGGATGGATTCATCTCACTTTATTTCAGCTACCTAAAGTTAGGGATCTCACCTAAGCCTTCTCCTTCAGGCCAAAAAGAGAAAGCATTTTTAGCATTTAGCATTTTAAAGAGAAGCATTTTTAGGATGTTCACATCTAGAGAGGTGGACTGATTCCAGGCTCACCACAGTTTACAAAACATAGGTTAGACATTGCAGCCCTTCAATTACATGACAAGATGATATGAATCCCTGATGCTGTGCCTCGATTACTTATTTGCACAACAGGATGAATAACTTGCTTACATCTCAACAATGTCATATAATATGAGAGAACTTTGAGACTAACATTTCAGAATTTTTGCTTGAAATCTGGGTTCTAAATTCTATTTCTAATGACCTTTTATTATGAAAAGTATATTCCAAATTAGGAAGGAGTCTTTTAGTTACGGCAATGAATTTTTGATGAGTCTGTAAGCCAGTATCACAGCACGTATTCTTTAAAGTTTTGTGTTAGCCTTTTAATTTTTTCATGACATAACGATTTTAGATTGGCTAAAATGTGAACTAAAAGTACTGGTGGCTTCTTGGTTTGCTGGTAAAAAAAACAACCAGATTAAAAGCTGAAAACTAGTTTAATAGTACATTTGCATCCACAACTTTTTCCATGCCCTGTCAAGGCAAAGTTTGTCATGAATTTTTCCCTTTGCGTTTTCCAGCCTTATGCATCTACACAGATTCATATACTTTAATTTGCATATACCTTTTCTAGTTGTATAGCTAGAAAAAAAGATGGTGAACATCTATGTATTTTGTTAATGTAAACTTAGATTTATTTCAACATTTATAACAAAAGAGTTACCAGACTGAGGATCCATTAGACTAGGAGCTGTTCAAAATGTGCAGTGAATAATACAGGTGACTCACTGACATGAAAGTTAAAGAATCATGGAATCATAGAACAGCTCAGGTTACAGAACCATAGAATCATAATTTGGAAAAAAACCTTCAAGATCATCAAGTCCAACTGCACTTTACCATACTACTCTAACTGTAACAGCCCTCCACTAAATCATGTCCCTGAGCACCACATACAAATGTATTTTAGACACATCCAGGGATGGTGACTCAACCACCTCCTTGCGGAGCCTATTCCAGTGCTTAACAACCCTTTCTGTAAAGAAGTGTTTCCTGATATCCAACCTAAACTTATCCTGGCTCAACTTCATGCCATTTCCCCTCATCCTGTCACCTGTCACCAGTGAGAAGAGACCAACCCCGCTCTCTCTGTAAGCACCTTTCAGATATTGGAAGAGAGCAATAAGGTCTCCTCTCAGCCTCCTTTTCCCCAGACTGAACAGCCCCAATTCCTTCAGTCTCTCCTCGTAGGCCATATTCTCCAAGCCCTTCACAAGCCTTGTTGCCCTTCTTTAGACCTGCTCCAGCACCTCAATCTCCTTTCTGTACTGAGGTGCCCAAAACTGAACGCAGTACTTGAGCTGAGGCCTCACAAATGCCAAGTACAGGGGCAGGATGACTTCCGAAGTCCTGCTCACCACACCATTCCTGTTACAAGCCAGGATGCCATTGGCCTTCTTGGCCACCTGGGCACACTGCTGGCTCATATTCAGCCGAATGTCCATCAGTACACCAAGATCCCTTTCCATCAGGCAGCTTTGCAGCCACTCCTCCCCAAGCCTGTAGGGTTGCAGGACCAACATTTGGCCCTATTGAAATTCTTACGGTCTATGTCACAGTAGGAAAGATGCATGCAGTTGAATCAGTTCATATTGATGGAGTATTCTTCTATTTTGCAGATGATATTGCAGATTATGTTTTATTTATTTCTTACATGTTATACTTGTGTGATAGGAAGTAAATATATCCCAAACGGTATATTTCTAAATAGAAAATTAACTAGCTCTTCCCCAGCTAACATTTAACCATGGGAAAGAAATCAAAAAGTTGCATCAATAAAACTTTCTTGTTAAGTTATATCCTAGCAAAGTCTGGAGTGTAGAAGCTGAAGCTTGCTCCGGTGATCATTTTTTACCTAGTTTGGCTTCCCATGATTTCCTTCAGGTCCTAAAGAATGCGTGTCTGTCAGAAAAGGTTCCACAGCCCTCCTAGCATTACTATTTATGTTAGTTTTTTGAAGCTTGAGTTAATTAATCCAAAAGGTAGATTGATAGGATCTCCATAGTACTCAATCCTTCAGCAATAAAGAATTCCTTGTGTAACGATATGAAAATTCCCAGATTGCTCATGCCTCCAATGAGTCTTTTCTTAAATGCCTATTTTTTTATGGTCAATTTCATATAGCAAGAAGTTAAAAGGTACTTTGGCTGAAGGCTGGTGAAATGCCTTAGTAGAATTAAGTAGCAACCCAGTGAATAAAATAGCACTTTAAAAGGTAGAAAAGCGAATTTTTTATCAGTGATTGGATGCTCAGGAGTGCTTTAAATGTTCCCCTCTTACAAAATGTCTAGTATGTTATGACTAATGTGCTTGGTTTGAAATTGCAGGTTTATGTAACTCAGCCGACAGCTGGATGATTGTTCCCAATATCAAACAAAACCACTACACCGTGCATGGGTTACAGAGTGGCACAAAGTACATCTTCATTGTTAAGGCCATTAATCAGGCTGGCAGCAGAAGCAGTGAGCCAGGCAAGCTCAAGACAAACAGTGAGTAATGTGAAATCCAGCACACACACTCTTCTCCTTTTTTAGGTTTGGTCTTTGAAAGACACGTGAGTGTAGAGCAGATTAACTTACAGTGCTTCCCACAGTGAAAGCCACTTATTTAACTTGATTCAAGATTGCCAGTGTCTCCACTACTGCAGAAATTACTTTCTGTTCAGAAAAGCATCTGTACTCTGGTCACTGGAAATAACATTTAGGAACAGAGCCTTCATATATGAAATGATTGAAAATATTATTTTGCAGTTTGTTTTAGTGTCCTATCTATTCTTTTTCCTACAAAGTAAAACCTTTCCTTGTGTTTGCAGTAAAACATTTTAGTTTTGTATCGTGTTCATAAGATAATTGCTACTTTAATTTTATTCTCCAGAATGATCTTTCTTAGGACACTGGAAAACTTCTTTAGCTGCATTCCCCTCATTTTTTATGGTGTTCATTGGGGTGGTAGAGTAGTTAGAGATCCCACTTCAAAAAAAAAGTGGTTGCACAAATTATTAGCAGATGTAGTATGGTAATTTTAAGACTGGTTTTCAGCCTTTTTCTTGTGTCCTGGCCAACAACCCCTCAGTCCTCTGGTCATCATAAACAGCTTTGATCTTGGGAAATTGAACACTGGGTTTGTGCACCCTCTGAAACCTGCTTATTGAGGGGGAGCATGCTCAAAGAGGGTTGATAACTCAGTGTTGCAAGAAGCAGGGTGCAGAGAATGGCACGTACCAGTTCGGGGTCTATTTACCTGGCTTGCATTCCTGTGTCCTGCTGCTTGTACAAACCACGTATCTGCTACCAAGCATTTGGTAACACGTAAGAAGACCCACTGGAAATGACAGTCTTTCATCCTTTTCTCTTTTTGTGACCCAGTGTGGCACAAAAGCAACCTCTCAGGTGACTGTGAGAAGGGGTCTATGCAGATACAGTTCAGTACAGAGAAAGATATGCTTCAGATACTACTTCAGTGACACAAAGGCTACTAACCAGCTAAGGAGGCAGCTTGTGGATGTTTTACTCCTATCCAATAGTAAGAAAAAGATTTCAAAATGCACTCCCAAATAATATTCAATGTATTTATTTCATACTTAAACATAATGAATGAATAAATAAATATTATTAAATAGATTATAACTTTAGAAATACTTCTTATCTAATTTTGCACTTACCTATAGTAATATTTACTGAGAATTAGTATCGCATCCATCATTTTCCACTTGAAATTTCTACATTTTCCGGTTTCCTGGAGATCTGGAATCAGTGCATATTGACTTCCTATTCAGAGGAATTTCATTTCTTCATATTCACACACTAATGCTTTCAGTTTCACTTCATGAAACGTACTTAACTGTTCCTTCATAAACACTGAGCAATTTACATCTTATTTGAAATTCACTTGTCAGTGTCAGAGGGTCACAGACCTCATGACAGTGCTCATGCCTATTTTCTATGCATGCAATCAAATCTTCTGCTTACATACTTCTTCCTTGATATGAAAGACAATAAGAAGGGGAAAGGGCTTTGATGGAGCCCACATAGAGTATAGTTTTCTAGCTGTACCTTTGTGGAGGTAAGCAATCACCCTGCTTATTAACACACAAAGCTCATTGATCAGAATTGTGGCAGTCTTTACATATCTACAGGGTTTGGTTTACCAAAAAGTTTCCTGATATTGTCTGCAAGCACTGTGCTACAGCTGAAGAGACTTGCCAAGATCAACAACCTCAGCAGTGTTTTTACACCGTAATATCTGGACCAAGTTATAGTTCACTTCCTTCTTTTTATTAATGCGTGGTATCCAACAGGACAGCACCATGTAGGCATCCTTCCAAAACTGATCCTGAATTGTTGACTGTGCTTGTTATAAATAAAGCTGTGAGTGAAGGAACAGACAAGGCTAATGCTTTTTCTTACTTTCAAATTCATTTTGTGGGATTTGAAAATAACACTTTTTTGTAGCAATGATGAAAATGTTATTATGGAACTTTATCCCTAGGGAATTAATAGAATGTAACATTCTAAATCTAATATGCTGTGAAAAAAGCAACCCTCGGACCTTTATTAACATGTATATTGGTTTCAATTACATGCAAGAATTAGAGCGTTCAGGTTACCTTTAGGTCAGAGATAATAGGCATGATGATTATGCAGGGCTCTTTTGAGAGATTGTCAACACAGGGATGTTAGTGCACAATGAGACTGACAATGAACTGGCAATGCAAACCAGCTAGTGCAGAGAGCAAAATCAGTCTGTCTTGAGAACACTTCAGAGAAGGAGATTAATATGATTATGTAATCTTGTATGCTTTTTTCTTATGCTTTCTATCAACTCCTCTTTTTAAAATTAAAGACAAACTGTTCTCCTGCTACCTTTGTCTTTGCGTATCTAGGTCAGCCATTTAAACTGGACCCCAAATCTGCTCATAGAAAACTGAAAGTGTCTCATGACAACCTGACAGTGGAACGTGATGAAACCTCCTCCAAAAAGAGTCATACACCAGAGCGATTCACGAGCCAAGGGAGCTACGGAGTAGCTGGCAATGTGTTCATTGACAGCGGACGGCATTACTGGGAAGTGGTTATAAGTGGCAGTACGTGGTATGTATATAAAAATATGTATGAGAATCATTGATTCACACCAAAGGCCCATGAAGGCCTCAGCACCGTTCCTCTCATGGAGATCAATAACTGAGACCTAAGGAATGGTTCGAAAGCAGGACAAGCGTATACTTTTACAGTTTGTCAGACTGTTTTCCCTAACTCCATCACTCTCAGACTCTGGAACTTATTCTGCCTGATAGAGCATTCTTATATTTAGCAACCCACACAGAACTTTTCCTTTGTTATTGAGGCTGATTGGTTTTTGAACCTACAGAACATACACTTTAAGATTTTAGTGTGATGGAGAGCTAAGAAATTTCATCTTTTTTCTGTAACAGAGCGAACTTTATACGTGTGATATCTCTTTACTAAATATGAAAGATGTTACTGCCCTTCTGTTTTGCCCCTTCGAAGCAAAACAGAAACAGAATATGCGGCTAATTAGACAATCCAACTTCACAGTGGTGGAAATTCTGAGGAAAGGGTGAGGAGCAGTGGTGCTAGGTCTGTGCCCTAGGGTTTGAATGTAGAGACAATAAATGAAGGAGTGTATTTATCTGTTTCTGAATGATCCTCTGTGCAACACAGGGCTGGGTTTCAAGGTCCCTTTAGTCAGTAGAAGAGATGTTATCCTTTGAGATTCAAAGGCAGCAGTCTTGATGGAAGTTAATGGAGCAGAAAATCAGTGAGGTCTTCAGATATGCCCAGTGTTTCAAACAAGAAAAATATTGTGTGCTTGTGCCAACTCCAAGGCAAGAAAGCAGAATAACTCGTGGCACATTAATCTCTGTTGGTTGAAAGCTCAACAACATATAACAACAAATACTTCAGTGTCTCTAAAACGTGAGGAACTTTAGCATTTCTTTAATATATGAGAAATCAGGTACTTGTCGTGGATATCCATTAATGGGAACATTTTCACAATCCTTTTACCTTGCACATCTTGCCATAAATCATGGTTTGCAGAGCGAATGTCTTCACCTACAAATGCTTCACTTGGCCCAATACCCCGTCCAAAAAACGCTCATTTGAATCTAAAAACCACACCAACATCTGGCAAAACATATTTGGGAATGGCAATTTTTTTTTTTTAACGTGTCTTTTGATGTTGATTCCTATGTTCCTCCTTCTGGTCTATATATTATAGGAGCAACAAGAGATCAGATTAGATGACAGACAGCAAAGTACTTTAAAATCAATGAATTCCTCTGTGCTCATCTGTTTAGAAGTGGAAATATGAGGCTCAGTGATTTAAGCTCTAAGTTCCTGAGTACTCAACAGTTTTCCCTTTGAATACCAGAGATGCATGCTCCAAAAAATTACCATAGCAGCCAAACTACAAACAATGTGAAGAACAGTAAAGTTTCTCTGACCTCTCAGAATGAAAAGAGATGGGAAAAACATAAATTAACTCTGCGCCAAGATTATGTTGCAACTTCACTTAATTAGAATTCAGTCAGCACAAATAAGAGACCAAGGCCTCGGTGATTCCTTTGGGCTGACACTCTGACACATGGGCATGACAAGAGGCACTTGCTTTCCAGAGCTGTGTTTGTTTTGCAGGTATGCCATCGGTATTTCATACAAGTCAGCACCAAAGCATGAGTGGATCGGGAAGAACTCTGCCTCTTGGGTGCTGTGCCGCTGCAACAACACTTGGGTGGTGAGACACAACAGCAAAGAAATCCCAATAGAGCCTGCACCTCATCTCCGCCGGGTCGGCATTTTGCTGGACTATGACAATGGTTCCCTTGCTTTTTATGATGCCTTGAACTCCCTGCACCTTTACACCTTTGACATTACGTTTGGGCAGCCCGTATGCCCCACATTCACTGTGTGGAATAAGTGTTTAACCATTATAACAGGCTTGCCCATCCCTGATCACTTAGACTCCTCTGAGCAGCTGGCATGACTGTTAAAAGCTAACAAGTAGGAGGATGTGTTTCCCAGGGCAGCTGCCTGCAGGAGCTCACCTGGAGCTGGTGGACTGCGTGGCATCTCAGTTGTTGCTGCCAAAACCAGCCAGAACCGAAAAGGGGTAGATCTCTCTTTTCTGAGTACTATATGCAGAAGGACAAGAATTTGCTTTAATAATACCTTAGAACTCTTTTTGCAGTTGCTTTTGTTTTGTTTTGCATTTAGTCCCTTTCAGGAAGATTTATAAGTTATTTATAAAAAAAAAAAAAAAAAAAAAAAAGAAGAAGAGGAAGAAGAAGAAAGGAAGAAAGGGGAGAGAGAGAAGAGAAAGCCTGGTTTGGATACCTGAAAAATGACTTATTTGTTTTGCACATTGATGGTCACATTCATTAAGGTTTCATCAGCTCATTACATTATTTTATTTTACAGTGGATAAAGGCAGGAAATTGGAAGGATAAAAGTGTGCAGTGGTGGACAAGTCAGTGTACTGCTGGTTTTATTCATGCCAATTTTAGTAATCATTACTGATCTTATTGAATGCAAAATCTCATAATTTCTACCTTGCACATGGGAATGTGCAGACCAAAAAGAATAAAAATAAACAACTAAAGAAGTAGAGCTAGCCAACACAGCAAAAGAAAGTTTAATTTACTTCTGTTCACAGGGCAGTGCATTCTCTGTTTGCAAAACGCATATGGAATATCTTCTAGAAATCTGAGTGCATAAATCATGTGGTGATTTATTTTGTTGATGACAACATTCCCATCTGTCAGTTTCACTTTCGTCTTTGGGAAACACTGTAGAGTCATTGAGGACGTTAAAGACTGATACCATCTCTGAAATGGCAACGCTGGAGGAGAGGAGCCACCCCAAGGTCTGGCTGTAGACTAATTTGACAAAACACTGCAACATTTAAGGTTTGATTGTAATGGAAGACATTGCGTTTCTGATGGTAGACACGTGAATGCTTATTGCTGATTTTACAAGGTTCAACACAGCAAGCACAGCCAATAACTCGGAAGTGAGACATAAGCCACCTTACCATTGGTTTTAAATTAAATACAAATGTTTCATTGTTGTACATTATGTAGTAATAACAAAGCAAGGAAATCTGTTTTGCATGAGCTGTATGGAGAAACATTGCAGCTGGAGTTTGTTCATAATTATAATTGTCTTGAACTGTTTGGGAAAGAACAGTTCTCTTTGTGAATGAGCACTAAACAAATTTTTAGGAATAGTAGGAATCTGCACAGGCAGGCTCTACATTCATGTAGGTGTTGGTGGATGAACTTCAATGAAGTCAATAGAAGTTGCACCTATTTTATCTCAAAGCTGAATCAGGTGCATTTTTTCACTTTTCCTTCTACGAGGTAGAAGTCTTTTGTAATTACTACAGTACTTGTTTATAAATGATCATTTTGGGAGATGTTTCAGGCATATGACAACTTTAAAAGAGTGGTCTTCTTACAGTGTTTTATTGTTACTGTTCAAGTGGTGAAAGTCTGCCTGTGTGGAAGGAGTATAAATACCAACTTCAAGAAAATATTTGTTCAGTAGCTTATAACCATGCTTAGGTGTCTTTTGAAAAGGATGCCCTAATGCACTTTGTTCACTAATGGGTCCAAAATAAAATGGTCCCAAAGTCAGCTTCAGATTTTTTAAATATTGATTCTGCAGGTACAAAGCTGTACTACAGTTTGCCTTATGATGATGTAGAAAACTTATGAACTTGGTAATGAATACATACACGCATACGGAGTTTGATTTTTCCCTTTTTTAATAGGAAATAAATGTCAGTCTTTGTTCCTTTGGTTTGCCTTTGCACGCTCTACTAGCTGATTACTCAAATGGAGAAAAATATGACAGTACATTGCTGGTAATGTATGTGGCTTTTTGCTATGACAGTATCCCATGGTTCACAGGCAAGAACCACCGATTTTTCCAGGGTTGACATAAATACAGGAAAGTACGTACATGCAGTGTCAGTGTACTGCACTGTTTATTGTTGTGTCTTAAGTAGCAAAGAAAAGAATATGCTCAAAAATGAAAAAGTAAATAAATCCTCAGAAATTACATTTGTATCTGAGTACATTGCTACCAGTACAGCCCGTTGCATATCTGGATGAGTCGGCCTGGAATGTTTGGAAGATAGTTGAGATGGCATGAAAATTATTATAATGAATTGACAGGAGATGAGTGGTGAAAGCAATTATAAAAATGTACAGGACGAAGGGACTCTTAATTTAGGATTTTTGCCAAGTTTCTGCCCAACAGGAAAGTATGTATTACTGCAGTACAAGTGGCAAGGCCACGTGCCTCCTCTTTCCCTAGAAATATTAAATCTAGAAGCTGATTTTATAGTGAACAAATTGAAAACACTCTTCGGTTCTTGGCCATACAATGTTAGCAGTGATCGAGCTGGATGTAGTTAACGCCATGAACTTGGAAAGATCTCTAGTGATCTCACATATTTTCATTTTAAAGACACTGTGTTCAAAGGCAGGTCATGGTTTTGGTGAAAGTAAAAAATGAATGGTCTTTTATCTGTATGCCTTTCTGTATTATTTATATTTTAACACAGAATACTTCATTTGGAGTTAGGCCACATTGCTACATTGGACTGTTAGTTCAGTGAGTACTCTCTGTGTGTGTATGTTTGTGTATGTGTGTATACATATGTATATACATGTATGGATGTATGGGTATTCACACAACAGTATAAGCACAGATGTAGTGCAATGTGTGTGTATACGTACATGCATATATACACAGAATGATACTAATTAGGTGCTCTTTTTTGCTTGTTTCTTGAATTATTTCATATTCTGTGTGACTATGAGGAAACAAGTTGCTATGAATGGTATTCATCTGGACATTTTTTAACAAACAAAATCTGTTCATGCTTGATAAATCAATAAAAGCATCCATTCAAAACTGTAGCTTCTGTGGTCTGTGGCATTTTGCATGGTCCATAGGAATCTATTGAAATCTGGGGGAATGGAATTTTTGTGTAAAGATAAAGCATGCTATTTTTATATACAAAGTATAGTCTTAGCTGAAGGTTTTCCCTGAGATTAGAAACTTTTGTAACTGGGAATAAGCTAGCACTCTATAATGCCATTTTTTTTGTGGAGTAGTCTGCTGAGATGCAAACAGTGAATGTAATAGGTGAAGCCTATGTTGGTATAATGATTGTTCAAGGATATATTTCAAATGCCAAGCTGTGATTCAGCAGATTAGAGACTTCCTTAGAAGATGGTAGCATCGTCTCAGAGTAATTTAAGCTCTGGTCTAACCTGAAGTAACGTTGTGGATGGGAAATTTTTTCTTTCTGAGACCAGATAAGATTTTCCTTATGTTGGGCTCCCATATGCTAATGCACATCTAACAGGGAAAAAAATCATTTAGAAGTAGGCTGTATGTCATAAATTATTTAGTAGACTGTCTTCATTCATTGTAGATTCCTACTGTTGGCTTTCAGAGAACAAGCAGAGAGCTGAAGTTACTGCATTCTCTGTCACATATCTATTCTTTGTCTGTCTTGGGCATCCCATTTTTCAGTTGCCTGTAGGACAGACCTCCACTAAGCAGTGGGTCCCAAATGTAGGAAGAATAAAAATCCCTCAGTGGCTACACTGTGTAACGCTGGAAATTGGCAAAATACCGATGAAAGCTCGTATGCCTTCTTCCTTATATTAGCAATGATAGGTCACTGAACAGCAGTGTGCATGATTTGTTCTGACTCTCGATTGGGAAGGCTGTGTTCTCTCTCTGTTAGAAAACACAACAGGACACTATTGATAGCACAAATTAAAGTGTCAGCTCTTTAATGAGTTGACTGTGAGATGGCCAGCATTTATTGCGCTATGAAGAAATATTGGCTGTGGAAGATTTCTTGACAATTATTTGACATTGGAGAGAGTATTTCATTTGTAATTTTTTGGATAAAATAGATGTCTAGTAATTCCCAGTTCTGATGTTAATTACAATAGCACAAATTCTAGATTAGCCACCCACAAATACAAAGAGAGAATTGTTGGTAGCTCTTATCTGCTATTAGTTTTAATTGAAAAATGTCTTCATTTCTGTGTTAGGAGTGAAAAAGATTTGGATCCATACACTTGCCATCTCAGTCAGGGCATGCCTGGCCTTAAGGCCATTGTTGGGCAGTCTTGGGTGGCTTATCATTTTATGTGATCCAGCTGTATTTTCTGTGTAACTAAATACTGGCTTCTTATGGTTGATATAGTTCCTTTCCTAAATGTCAGAATTCTCACATTTGGTCAGAATGATTATTTATTCTGTCTTTATTATTCATAGTATTCAATGTTGAAATCTCTCCTCCTTGTGCCGTGCTTCCTAGGCCTGTCTAATTGAATTGAGTGCTATTTCCATATATCAACATTTGTCTGGTCATCGTTTGAAGGATGAAACGTAAATGACACCAGGTTGACCATCCAGTCAATTTTCCCAATTGTAGCTAAGCCTTCAGCAGTGTCACTCTTACTGAGCTTGTTGTAGTTGACTGCCAAATTGTGAGTCATGTGGCCTGCAGGTTTATTTAGATTATGGTTTTGTCTTGATTTTTGTGTTTGTTTCTGGATGTTCAGGGGGTGTTAGGCTTTTTCAGTCAATCAGCAGAGAGATACGTAAAAACATTATGCCTGATGTTTTCAAGCTATTCTATGCAGTTTTCCATTTTGTGATGTTAAGATCTACATCTCATAAGGATAAGTTAAAACACGTGCATAGGTTGCTTAGGTATTGATGTAATGGCAAGTGTCTCATAACACCATGTCTAATGTCTCTTCACACACTGATTTTTCCCACAGTGGAAATGTGTATGCAGATACAGGAATGTGATATGCGGTATTTTCCTGTATCATTGGGCTGACTGCCCATTTAGAAATTAAGATCTTCAGCACAATGAAGAACTTTGGTCTTAATCTTTGTCTTTTCCGTAGGGAGGAAAGCACTACTAGCTTCCAAGTGCTGATGGTGGGTCTTCCAGATTATACTGTGCTGTTTGTCTTTATTGTACTTTCTGAAGTAAAAGAAACTCTTTCCACTTTAACCTTTGATTTAGCATTGGGTTTTCATATGAAAAATAGCAAGAGATTAAAGAGCAGTAGCTGTAAGTGCTTCAGTGTGGTGACACATGATTTGGGCCATGAGGTGTAAGACATCCATGTACATTAATCTTTGTACAGAGAGATACGAGCTTGAATACTTTCAGTGTTGAGGAAGCTCTGGTTTAGAAGCACAGCAATGTAGGCATGTAGCCTTCTAATTTTTTTAGCATTATCCTGCCACCCCATGATTTAAAGCATCATTATTACTGCTCCCTGAGAGGCACTGAAGTAGTAAAAGAGTTCTGGAGAAATGCTGGGAGAGGTCCCTCAGAATGGCAGGGCAGCTGGAAACCTTCCACTGCCATATGTCCTCACACCTTTCCAAAATGCTGCAAAGAAAGTCTTGCCTTATTCTTTTGTTATGGCTCGGCCCCAGTCTATGTTCCCGTGTGACAGAAAAAGCCTTGCAATTGTATGTTTGAAATCCTAACCTGAATAAATGCAGCAGGACAGGGATGGCAGCCCCAGGCCTTGATTCTTCTTTTTTTCTCCTTTTGCCCAGATTTTTGCTTCCATTGACTTCAAAGGGGATTTACACAGAGGTAGGTAAAAGCCCGTGAATCTTCAGTTTCCAAGGGGTCAACAATGAAGTAAACAAGGAGCTCCTGTGCTAACAGCTCAGCATTCCTATTAAATCATACCTTTTGAGAAAGCACATTAGCTGCTAGCAAAACTGCAGTTTCTTGTGAGCAGTTTCCCAAGGCCAGCACAGGTGTGCTTTAAGGTGTATAGTTCAATAACGTTCTTCTTGGGTTAATTGTGCGATGCTTTGCTGTTTCCTCAAAACAAGGTGAGAACAATCCTCTTAGCAAGTGCTTAAACAATGACTTAAACAAAAATCATGAAAACAGCAGATAAATAAGTTTAGTACAGATAAGACCACCATTTAAAAATGGATAAGAAGTAAATAATTTTACAAGTACACCTCCTCTTACTGTAACTTAAGTAATTATTTGAATGCATGGAGATGTTTTTTTCTCAAAGAATGTCGTCTTATTTCTTTACAACATACACAGACACATTGTAATCGTAAGTCTTCCTGAAACTCCACACATTCATAAAACAGTTCATATCCAAGCCTTTAAAACAGCTACTGGAAACTTTGTGTTTTGCATATTACTAGTCATTGATCAGGAAAAAAAATATATATATGTATATACGATTACACTATGGGATTATACTACTGAAACACTTCAAAATTGAGAGCCATCTGCCACACAAGAACATGCAGGTTATTTTTTTGTTTGTTTGTTTGTTTTTGGTACTTTTCTTCATTTTTGTTATACAAATTAATCCACTTGGAAACATTTTTTCTGCTCTCCTTCCATTTCTTCTTTCTTTCTGCTTCCCCACTCATTTTCAGATGAGTTCATTTTCTAGTGCCAAAATTAGAGTTGCAAGAAATGCATGTAAGTGGGAATATCTTTATGTTTTAAAAAACTGGATTTTTAATTTCCTTTAAAATTACCTTTTTCATGAGACTTATGGAAAATTAAATGAGAAGTGAGAATACTAAAGCAATGTGTTATTGAAAGGTAAGCACATCTTTAATGTAGAAGTTAAAGAAGGAATGCAGATAAGCCTGATATTCTTTTACAAACAAAATTATTTGATTTAATTATTTGTGGCTTACTAGTATTGCTCTCTAATTAAAACAGTGTTATGAGACCTGATTAGGGAGCACAACCAGATCAAAAGTAGATTGTTTTAGAATATTTCTGGAATAAGTACTTTAGTAGCAATATATGTATATGTAAATATTTATGTATGTATGTATTGAATCTCATTAATCTCGGCAGGTTTCTGTGTGGTTTTTTTTTCTTCGTTTTTAAATACTCTTTGTTCTCTCCAGCAGTAATTCCCAGTCTATACAGATATCTCTCAATTGGGAAGCATGGGGTCTAATTCTTTATGGAATTAGGAACAATATTGTCATATGGCATGTGAGAACATCTCTCACTGGGTGCAGGCAAATGGCTATTTATTTCTGTCATCTCTGTGTAAGAGTTATAGACAAACTGAGGATGAAAAAGGTTCATCCAAATTTGTAAGTGCAGGTAGAGGTGGAAGGATTCACCTTTCATTCTCTGGTGAATCACAACTAGTGATTACAACCGGTGGTAGACCAATTAGTAGACCCATTAGTAGAAGACCAATTGGTAGACCAATTAGTTTGTTAATCCAATCAGTAACTTATCCTTTTAGTTTCTTCAGTTGACTGATTTCTCTCTCATTTTGTCAATTAGAGTTTAAAATGTTACTTTTTTCCACCTCCCCCATCCTCCCCCCCCAAAAATCCAGAACTGTTCGGCTTTTGTCAAACTTGAAAACAGACTTTGCTGATGCAGTGTCTGTTGCTTACAGCAGAGGGTAAAGGTGAGGAACGACTGACACAGAGAATAAGTAGAGGTGCAGACAGTTCAAAACAGCATAATGATGCTCATAAGCACAGTTCCCATTAAACCCCTTTAAAGTTAGTTACATGAATGAGGAGAAAGAAGTACAACCAGGTTCAACCTTCATGTATAACAATCAGTATGAATCAGCACAGGCCCTGGAACAGTTGAAAATCAAGACTCCGCTTTTTTACTGAAAAATGCTATTATCTTGTTTCTCTTCAACAGTTGGGCCCCAGCATACCTTCATTGCATGTGTCTGTACAAACAGGAAATAGTAAAAATTGTTCTGCATCACATTGTAAATTCTTACAAATGTGAGGCCAATTGTAGAAATTAG